GCACCAACCCACAACCCCCAACCGTAGACCGGGGGCACCAACCCACAACACAACCCACTGACCGGGGCACCAACCCCAGACACAACCCCACTAGACCGGGGCACCAACCAGCAACACAACCCAGCAGACACAACCCGAGACAAACCAAAAATTTCCCAAAAAAAGGGGGTTTTAAAGTTAAGGGTTTTTTTTATAAAAAAACGGGGAGGTAAAGCCCCCTAAGGGGTCCGGGGGCCCCCAGGGGTGGGTCCCGTGGGGTGCCAGGGCCACCAGTGCCCTTATGCCCGCGGCTCCCCCAGAGAAAAAAAAGAGCAAAAATTGAAGAGTTTTGGAAAAATCAGCAGAAAGGGAACAATGTTGAGGCCAGGTGTAAACGAGGCACTGCTGGCAGCGGACTGTCGGGTTCGCGGGCACTACTACAAACTGCAACTGCTGCACTGCTCACTCTCTGACACTGTGGCCACTCTGGAAAAGGCACTGGATTTCTGGCACTACTGGCACACTCGGAAGCTGGCACTTCCCCATTGTCGGTATTTCCGCTGGGACTGTTGATAAAATTTCTTTCTAATTTTTAACCCAAGGTTACACCCAGGATAACCAAATTTTCGCGTGTCTTATTTTGGCAAGAAGAGCATTGCTATTTAAAACCCAAAAAAAGCAAGTTTTACTTATTGGCACTATTACTACTATCTATTATACATACATATATATATATAATATTTAAAAATTAATAAAATTTAAAAAATTTAAATATATTTTATATATATTTATATATTTGGTGTTGTGTTTTGTGTGTTGTGTGGGGTTTGGGGTGTGTGTTGTGTGGTGTTTGTGGTTTTTGGGTGTGTGTGTGTGTTGTGTGTGTGTTGTGTGTGTTGTGTGTGTGTTGTGTGTGTGTGTGTGTGTTGTGTGTGTGTGTGTTGTGTGTGTTGTGTGTTGTGTGTGTGTGTTGTTTTTGTGTGTTGTTGTGTGTGTTGTGTGTGTGTTTTTGTGTGTTTGGGGTTTTGTGTTTGTGTGTGTGGTGTTGTTGTGTGTTTTGTGTGGTGTTTGTGTTGTTGTGTTTTGGGGTTGTGTGTGTGTGTTTTGTGTTTGTGTGTTGTGTTTTGTGTGGTGTGTTGTTTTGTGTTTTTTGTGTGTGTTGTGTGTGTTTTGTTGTGTGTGTTGTGAGTGTGTGTTTGTGTTGTTTTGTGGGTTTTGTGTGTGTTTGTGTGTGGTTTTTGTGTGTGTGGTGTTGTGTGGGGGGGTTGTGTGGTTGTGTGGTGTGTGTGTGGGTTTTGTGTGTGTTTTTGGTTGTGTGTTTTGTGTTGTGTGTGTGTTTTGTTGTGGGTGTTGTGTGTGTTTGTGTGTTTTGTTGTGTGTGTGGTTTTGGGGTGTGTTGTGTGTGTGTTGTGTGTGTATGTGCGTGTGTGTGTTGTGTGGTGTGTGTGTGTGTGTTTTGTGTGTGTGGGTGTGTTTGTTGGTTTTGTGGGGTGTGGGTGTGGTTGTGGTGTGTGTGTGTTGGTGGTTGTGTGGTTGTTGTTGTGTTTTGGGGTTTGTGTTTTGTGGGTGGGTTTGGGGTGTTTTGTGTGTGTGGGGTGTGGGGGGTTTTGGTGTGTTGGGGTGGGTGTGGGTTTTGTGTGTGTGTGGGGGGTTGTTGTGTTTTGTGTGGTTGTGTGTGTTGTGTTTTGTTGTGTGTGTGTGTTTGTGGGGTTTGGGGGTTTTTGTGTGTGGCTGTGTGTGTGTGTGTGGGTGTGTGTGTGTGTGTGTGTTTTGTGTTGTGGGTGGTGTGGCTGTGTGTGTGGGTGGTGTGTTGTGTGTGGTTGTGTGTGTGTGTGTGTTTTGGGGTGTTTTTGTGTGTGTTGTTTTGTGTTGTGGGTTTTTGGTTGTGTTTGGGTTGTGTGTGGTGTGTGTGTGTGGGGGTGGGTTGTGTGTGTGTGTGTTTTGGTTGTGTGTGTTAGTGTTTTGTGTGTTGGTTTTGTTTTGTTTTTGGGTTTTGTGTGTGGGGTTGTTGTGTGTGTGTGTTTTTTGTGTGTTTGTTGTGTTGTGTGTTTGTGTTTTTTTGTGTGTGTTTTGTGGGCGTTGTGTTGTGTTTTGTGGGGTTTTGTGTGTGTGTGTGGTGGTTGGGTGTTTTTTTTTGTTGGTTGTGTTTTTTTGTGGTTTTTTGTTGTGTGTGTGTGTGTGGTTTTGTGTGGTGTTTTGTTAATTCTCGGTTTTAAGATACTAACCTTAGGGCCCACTTTACTGCTGACGGGTGTAAAAAACTTCGTTACGAGGCCCCCGGGGATTCGGCGTAGTCCGGTCCCGGGCTGGCGGGGGTTTGGACTTTTAAACGAAATACGATACTCCCCTGGGGATTGACGTCGTACTCCCGGGGAATTTCGAAATGGGCGTAGACATGACGTTTACTGAAGCTTCGTTGTCTGGTTGGGGGCCCGGGGGAGCCGGGTGTAAAGGGGTATACGCAGGGGATATAAGGGATAAAGGGAAACCCCAGTTTGAAAAAAGCAGGTATAACGAGGGGGATTGAGGTTTTTGGAAAATGGGGAATTTGGGGTTAACCCGGGGGGCCCGGGGCTGTGAATTTTGGGCCCCTGCAAACTCCTTTTTTTTTTTGGGGTTTCACGTACACATACACACCATATACACCCCACACCCCCCACACAAACCACACACACCCCACACACACACACACACATACAACAAACACCCTACATTCAACACCACACAACACACCACACACACACACACACACCCCACACACAACACACAAACACACACACACACACAACACCACACACAACACACCCACTACAACACACAAAACACACCACACACCACACCACCAAACACCCCACCACACACACACACCCCACACACACCACAAACACCACAAAACCACCACCCACACACACACACACACACACACACACACACACACCACCAAAACACAAAACCCCACACACACACACACACACAAACACACACATAACCACACACACACACCACACACCCCACACCCCACCACACACACACCACACACAACACACACACATACACCACACACACACACCACAAAACACACACCACACACACATACACCACACACACACACCACACACCCCACACACACACACACACCCCCACAACACACACATACACCACACCCAACACACACACACACACACCACACACACACACACACAACACACACAAAACAAACACACACACAAACACACACACACACCAAACCACAACACACCACCACAAACAACACACAACACACACACACACACACCAACACACAAAACACAACACACACAAACACACACACACACACACACACAACACACACAAAAACACAAACACACACACAACACACACAACAACAACACAAACACACACAACACAACACACACACAAAAACAACACACACAAAAAAAAAAAAAAAAAACACACACAAAACAAAACACACAACAAAAACACACACAAAAAACAAACACAAAACACACACACAACACCACCACACACACACACAACACACACACCACCCCCACACACACACAACCAACCACACACACAACACCACAACCAAAACACACACACACAAACACACACACACACAACCCCAAAAACCACAAAAACCAAACACACACCCCAACACACACAACACACACACACACAAACACACAACACAACAAAACCCACACACACACACATCACACCCACACCACACACAACACAAAACCCCCACACAAAACCCCACACACCACACACCAAAAAACCCCCACACACCCCTTAAAGCCCCCAAAAAAATCCTTCTCATTACAAACACGCTGAGATTTCAAGCACATCTTGTTTCAGACCATAAGGTCACAAAAAAGGTCACCAAGGTCAGTTTGGACATTGCCGGATAAAACTTACGCTATCCCGGGGACAGCCGGTTACCCCGCAGCCGTTTGGGGGGTAAATCCGGTGTGCGGAAAGTTACTAAGAGGGCATTTAAAGCCATTAACCCACCCTTTTAAAACCCCAGCTGGAGGGTTAATTTATCAGCTGACTGCCCTACTTATCCCCCGCAGCGACTCGCGCAGAGTGAGGGGTGTCTCTTTGTAGTGACTGGTAGTCTGCTGACAGCCCGAGTGAGAGGGCGTCAGTCTGGAGTTTACCTGGAGTTTACCTGGAGAGAGTTTCGGGGGTCAACGCCCCCGCGGCCCGGTCTGTGACCAGGCCTCCTGGTGGATCAGCGCCTGATCAACCAGGCTGTTAGTCTATTGATATTGACTGGATAATCTGCTGACAGCACGAGTGAGAGGGCTGTTAGTCTATTGATAGTGACTGGATAGTCAGCTGACTGCTGACAGCACGAGTGAGAGGGCTGTCAGTTTATTGATAGTGACTGGATAGTCTGCTGACTGCTGACAGCACGAGTGGGAGGGCTGTCAGTCTATTGATAGTGACTGGATAGTCTGCTGACAGCACGAGTGAGAGGGCTGTCAGTCTATTGATAGTGACTGGATAGTCTGCTGACTGCTGACAGCACGAGTGAGAGGGCTGTTAGTCTATTGATATTGACTGGATAATCTGCTGACAGCACGAGTGAGAGGGCTGTTAGTCTATTGATAGTGACTGGATAGTCAGCTGACTGCTGACAGCACGAGTGAGAGGGCTGTCAGTTTATTGATAGTGACTGGATAGTCTGCTGACTGCTGACAGCACGAGTGGGAGGGCTGTCAGTCTATTGATAGTGACTGGATAGTCTGCTGACTGCTGACAGCACGAGTGAGAGGGCTGTCAGTCTATTGATAGTGACTGGATAGTCTGCTGACTGCTGACAGCACGAGTGCGAGGGCTGTCAGTCTATTGATAGATGATGGATAGTCAGTGACTGTGACGGGCACGAGTGAGAGGGTTGTCAGTCTATTGATAGTGACTGGATAGTCTGCTGACTGCTGACAGCACGAGTGCGAGGGCTGTCAGTCTATTGATAGTGACTGGATAGTCAGCTGACTGCTGACAGCACGAGTGCGAGGGCTGTCAGTCTATTGATAGTGACTGGTTTGTCAGCTGACTGCGGGACAGCACGAGTGAGAGGGTTGTCAGTCAAATTGTTAGTGACTGGTAGTCAGCTGACTGCTGACAGCACGATTGGGAGGGCTGTCAGTCTATTGATAGTGATGGTAGTCTGCTGACTGCTGACAGCACGAGTGAGAGGGCTGTCAGTCTATTGATAGTGACTGGATAGTCTGCTGACTGCTGACAGCACGAGTGAGAGGGCTGTCAGTCTATTGATAGTGACTGGATAGTCAGCTGACTGCTGACAGCACGAGTGAGAGGGCTGTCAGTCTATTGATAGTGACTGGATAGTCAGCTGACTGCTGACAGCACGAGTGAGAGGGGTTGTCAGTCTATTGATAGTGACTGGATAGTCAGTGACTGTCCTTGACACCAACCCTTGACACTCTCCTTGACACTCTCCTTGACACTCACCTTGACACACTCCTTGACACTCTCCTTGACACTCACCTTGACACTACCCTTGACACTTACCTTGACACTCTCCTTGACACTCTCCTTGACACTCCCTTGTACCTTGACCTCAACATCCTTGGTGACCGTCCCAGGGTTGACTGGGCTTGACAGGTGTAGTTGGCAGACTCCCGGAAAAATCTCCAGCACCAGCACATTCTTGGTGATCAAGTTGTCTGTCATGTCGATGGCCCGGACCCTAGACACCACAGAGCAGAAAACAGGGTCAAGACAGGTTATCATACCAGGGTCATGGGCGGGGTCATTTCAAGGTGTATATAGTGTTATACAACGTCATACAGGAATATACAGTTGTTTTTACAACGTCATACAAGGTGTATACCCGCGGTATACAACGTCATACAAGGTATATACAGTGTTATACAAAAGTCATACAAGGTATATACAGTGTTATACAACGTCATACAAGGTGTATACAGTGTTATACAACGTCATACAAGGTATATACAGCGGATACAAACGTCATACAAGGTGTATACAATGTTAATTTGAACGTCATAAAGGTATATACAGTGTTATACAAAGTCATACAAGGTTATACAGTGTTTACAACGTCATACAAGGGGTATACAATGTTATACAAACGTCATACAAGGTATATACAGTGTTATACAACGTCATACAAGGTTAAGTGTTATACAACGTTCATACAAGGTGTATACAATGTTATACGTCATTTCAAGGTTTATACAGTGTTATACAACGTCATACAAGGTGTATACAATGTTATATTTAAAGTCATACAAGGTATATACAACGGTATACAACTTCATACAAAGTGTATACAATGTTATATAACGTCATACAAGGTGTATACAGCGGTATACAACGTCATACAAGGTGTATACAGACCCATAATAATAATAATAATCACCTGAGATCACTTACTAACAACACAGTGGCCACCACAACCTGATTAATCAAGCAGACAACAACAACAGTGGCCACCACACCACCAGTGTCAAGTTTGAAGACTATCTAACGTCTCCTGCTGGTGCCAGGTCGTCTTATTACTGAATATTTAAGAGTCGTGATGGCGGTTCTTAGAAACAGGTATTAACCTGGTTAAGAATTAATTAGAAGTTAGGAACTAAGTTCTGATGTGCACATTATGCTATAGTGTCGCTAAGTTCAATGACCGGAACTTTGTAAGTTCAATAATGTGGATGTATTATTTTCTGGAATTATTAGAGAGAGAGAGAGAGAGAGGAGAGAGAGAGAGAGAGAGAGAGAGACGGAGGGAAAGAGAGACACGGAGAGAGAACCTCGTTAAGCCCTGTGTAAAAAAGACAGGAGAGAGAGAGAGAGAGAGAGAGAGAGAGAGAGAGAGAGAGAGAGAGAGAGAGAGAGAGAGAGAGAGAGACAGACAGACAGACAGACAGACAGACAGAGAGAGAGAGAGAGAGAGAGAGGAGAGAGAGAGAGAGAGAGCACCTAGGTGTTACTCACCTTCTTCCACTGCACATAGGGCATAGGTGAGCCCACAGCAACACAGGAGATACTGAGGGAGGCGCCTGGCATCACCTCGTACATGGAGTCTGGTTCCTTACTGAACCTCGGTGGTACACGTCTCACTGTGGGAGACAACACGGGCTTATAGTCTACATGGGAGACAACACGGGCTTATAGTCTACATGGGAGACAACACGGGGTTATAGTCTACATGGGAGACAACACGGGCTTATAGTCTACATGGGAGACAACACGGGCTTATAGTCTACATGGGAGACAACACGGGCTTATAGTCTACATGGGAGACAACACGGGCTTATAGTCTACATGGGAGACAACACGGGCTTATAGTCTACATGGGAGACAACACGGGCTTATAGTCTACATGGGAGACAACACGGGGTTATAGTCTACATGCGAGACAACACGGGCTTATAGTCTACATGGGAGACAACACGGGCTTATAGTCTACATGGGAGACAACACGGGGTTATAGTCTACATGGGAGACAACACGGGGTTATAGTCTACATGGGAGACAACACGGCTTATAGTCTACATGGGAGACAACACGGGGTTATAGTCTACATGGGAGACAACACGGGCTTATAGTCTACATGGGAGACAACACGGGCTTATAGTCTACATGGGAGACAACACGGGCTTATAGTCTACATGGGAGACAACACGGGCTTATAGTCTACATGGGAGACAACACGGGGTTATAGTCTACATGGGAGACAACACGGGCTTATAGTCTACATGGGAGACAACACGGGCTTATAGTCTACATGGGAGACAACACGGGGTTATAGTCTACATGGGAGACAACACGGGGTTATAGTCTACATGGGAGACAACACGGGCTTATAGTCTACATGGGAGACAACACGGGCTTATAGTCTACATGGGAGACAACACGGGGTTATAGTCTACATGGGAGACAACACGGGGTTATAGTCTACATGGGAGACAACATGGGTTATAGTCTACATGGGAGACAACACGGGCTTATAGTCTACATGGGAGACAACACGGGCTTATAGTCTACATGGGAGACAACACGGGGTTATAGTCTACATGGGAGACAACACGGGGTTATAGTCTACATGGGAGACAACACGGGCTTATAGTCTACATGGGAGACAACACGGGCTTATAGTCACATGGGAGACAACACGGGGTTATAGTCTACATGGGAGACAACACGGGCTTATAGTCTACATGGGAGACAACACGGGGTTATAGTCTACATGGGAGACAACACGGGGTTATAGTCTACATGGGAGACAACACGGGGTTATAGTCTACATGGGAGACAACACGGGGTTATAGTCAACATGGGAGACAACACGGGCTTATAGTCTACATGGGAGACAACACGGGGTTATAGTCTACATGGGAGACAACACGGGGTTATAGTCTACATGGGAGACAACACGGGGTTATAGTCAACATGGGAGACAACACGGGGTTATAGTCTACATGGGAGACAACACGGGGTTATAGTCTACATAGGAGACAACACGGGGTTATAGTCAACATGGGAGACAACACGGGGTTATAGTCTACATGGGAGACAACACGGGGTTATAGTCTACATGGGAGACAACACGGGCTTATAGTCTACATGGGAGACAACACGGGGTTATAGTCTACATAGGAGACAACACGGGGTTATAGTCAACATGGGAGAGAACACGGTGTTATAGTCTACATGGGAGAGAACACGGTATTATAGTCAACATGGGAGAGAACACGGTGTTATAGTCAACATGGGAGAGAACGCTGGGTTATACTCAATATGGGAGAGAACACGGTGTTATAGTCTACATGGGAGAGAACACGGTGTTATAGTCAATATGGGAGAGAACAGGTGTTAAGTCAACAGGGGGAGAGAAACACGGTATTATAGTCAACATGGGAAAAGAACACAGTTTTAAATCAACACGGGAGAGAACATGGTGTTAAAACAACACGGGAGAGAACACGGGTTATAATCAACATGGGAGAGAACACGGTGTTAAGTCAAAAATGGGAGAGAACACGGTGTTATAGTCAACATGGAGAGAACCGGTGATTATAGTCAACATGGGAGAGAACTTTGGTGTTATACTCAACATGGGAGGGAAAAACGGTGTTATAGTCAACACGACCCGGGAACCAAGACTGCTCAACAGCCTCCTATCATACACAGGGGATTACCAATAGATTCCAAGTGGCTCACTTTCACGAGGGGGATTACCAATAGATTCCTAGCTGGCTGACTTCACGGGGGGGATTACCAATAGACTCCTAGCTGCTGACTTCACGAGGGGGATTCCAATAGTTCCTAGCTGGCTAAATTTCACGAGGGGGATTACCAATAGATTTCCTAGCTGGCTGACTTCTCGAGGGGGATTACCAATAGATTCCTAGCTGGCTGACTTCACGAGGGGATTACCAATAGATTCCTAGCTGGCTGACTTCACCGAGGGGGATTACCAATAGATTCCTAGCTGGCTGACTTCACGAGGGGTTTAACCAATAGATATCCTAGCTGGCTGACTTCACGAGGGGGATTACCAATAGATTCCTAGCTGGCTGACTTCACGAGGGGGATTACCAATGATTCCTAGCTGGCTGACTTCACGAGGGGGATTACCAATAGATTCCTACTGGCTGACTTCACGAGGGGGATTACCATAGATTCCTAGCGGGCTGACTTCACGAGGGGATTACCATAGATTCCTAGCTGGCTGACTTCACGAGGGGATTACCAATAGTTTCCTAGCTGGCTGACTTCACGAGGGGATTACCAATAAACCCCTAGCTGGCTGACTTCACGGGGGGGAAATTTACCAATAGATTCCTAGCTGGCTGACTTCACGAGGGGGATTACCAATAGATTCCTAGCTGGCTGATTCTCGAGGGGATTACCAATAGATTCCTAGCGGGCTGACTTCACGAGGGGATTCCCAAATAGTTTCCCTAGCTGGCTGACTTCACGAGGGGATTACCAATAGATTCCTAGCTGCTGACTTCACGAGGGGATTACCAATAGATTCCTAGCTGGCTGACTTCACGAGGGGGATTACCAATAGATTCCTAGCTGGCTGACTTCACGAGGGGGATTACCAATAGATTCCTAGCTGGCTGATTTTCACGAGGGGATTACCAATAGATTCCTAGCTGGCTGACTTCACGAGGGGGATTACCAATAGATTCCTAGCTGGCTGACTTCACGAGGGGATTACCAATAGATTCCTAGCTGGCTGACTTCACGAGGGGGATTACCAAAAATTTCCCCTAGCTGGCTGACTTCACGAGGGGGATTACCAATAGATTCCTAGCTGGCTGACTTCACGAGGGGGATTACCAATAGATTCCTAGCTGGCTGACTTCACGAGGGGATTACCAATAGATTCCTAGCTGGCTGACTTCACGAGGGGGATTACCAATAGATTCCAGCGGGCTGACTTCACGGGGGGGATTACCAATAGATTCCTAGCTGGCTGACTTTCACGAGGGGATTACCAATAGATTCCTAGCTGGCTGACTTCACGAGGGGGATTACCAATAGATTTTTAGCTGGATGGTTTAAAAAGGGGAACTGAACAGGCTCATCAGGTCAGTACCTGATCAGCCGGCTGTGGTTCATACATTTGACTACGTGAGGCCAGCAGTAACAACCTGGGTGATCAAGTCTTGATCCACCACGAGGCCTGGCCA